AGTTTTTTTAGTTGGTAAAATTGCTTTGAATTTACATATATGTAAGCAAAAAATATATATACTTTTAGAAAATAACTGAATGAGATTCATCTAGATTTTAATTTCTAGTATTAATATGAATTCCAAGGCTTATCATTGACTTTTTGTATTTTTCATATATTCTTACATACTCTTTGCAATGATTTTTGAAACTCATCTTTCACTGAAAGAATCTTTTAAAATATGCTTATATGATTTTAAAGTTTTAAATTGGGATAAAGTACATATAATTGATCATTCTGATCATTTTGAGTGTAAGTCCAGTTGTGTTAAGTGCATTCATATTGCAGTGCAGCTGGTCTCTTGAACACGTTTCGTGTTGCAAAACTGAAATTCTCTTTGTGTAGGTGTGTGTGTGTGTGTGTGTGTGTGTGTGTGTGTGTGTGTGTGTGTATACAGATGGATGCATATATTCCTCATATATATATATATATATATATATATATATATATATATAATAAATAGAGATTGTAGGGAGAGAGTCACACTCTATATGGTCTTAACTAGTGATGGAACATATGCAGTTTATTCTTCTTTTTAACCCTTATATACAGTATTTTCTACAATAAATATAAGCACTTTTTCTTACAGAAGCACGTGTTTAGACATCTACATTCTTAACGCAAGAAACTTAATGTTTTTATCCCATTATTTTAAGAAGAATGCTAATAATAGCAGCTATCTTGTAACTAAAAAACAGGACATGTTACAGATCATTCAAATTATGTCATACAGAAAACATATATGTTCAATGATTTTACTCCAACAACAGCTTACTTTGCACTTAGGAAAATACTTAGAATTTTTTACTTCTGATTATTTTCATCAGAGATTATTAATGACTTAATGTTTACTTTTGAACTTTTTTTGTGGTAAAATACACATAACACAAAATTTATCACTCCACCCATTTTTAAGTGTACAGTTCAGTGGTACTAATATAGTCATATTGTTCAATCATCACCAGTATTCATGTCTAGAACTCCTTTCATCTTCCCAAATACAAGAACTCCTCATTCTTCCCTCCCTCGGTCCCTGACCACCACTATTCTACTTCCGTCTCTATGAATTTGACTAATGTAAGTACCTCGTATAAGTTGAATCACACAAAATTTGTCCTTTTGTGCCTGGCTTATTTCATTTAGCAATGTCTTCAAGATTCATCTGTGTTGTGGCATGTGTAAGAATTTCCTTCCTTTTTTATGTCTGAAGAATATCCCTTTTTATATGTATTCCACATTTTATTTATTCATTCATCCTTTGATTAGTACTTGGATTGCTACCACCTTTAGATGATTGTGAATAATGCTGCTATGAACATGGGTGCACACTTGTCTGTTTCAGTCTTTTGCAGTTAGTTTGGGTATATACCCAGAAGTGAATTTGCTAGATCATATAATTCGATTTTCAGTTTTTTGAGGGTCTACCTTATTGTTTTTCACAGCAGCTGCCGTATTTTACATTCCTAGTAATAGTGCACAAGAGTTCAAGTTTCTTTGTGTCCTCACCAACATTTGTTATTTTCTGTTTTTCGGATGTTAAGTCCTTCCAGTGTGTGAGATGATCTCATTGTGGTTTTGATTTGCTTTTCTCTAATGATTAATAATGTTGACCATCTTTCATGTGTTTATTGACCATTTGTATACCTTCTTTAGAGAAATGTCTGTTAAGGTTTGCTTATTTCTTTAATTTGGCATATTTTTGCTTTTTTGTTGTTGAGTTGTAGGAGCTCTTTATATATTCTAGATAATAATCAACCCCTTATTGGGTATATGACTTGCAAATATTATCTACCATTCCATGAGTTGCCTTTTCATTCTGTTGATTGTATCATTAGAAGCACAGAATTGTTAATTTTGATGTAGTCCTATTTATCTATTTTAATTTCCTTGTAGATACTTTTGGTATAATATCCAGGAAATTACTGCTTAATCCAAAGTCATGAAGCTTCCCCCTATGTTTTCTTCAAAGAGTTTTATAGTTGTAGCTCTTACATTTAGGTCTTTGATTCATTTTAGCTAATTTTTGTACCTAGTATGAGACACGTGTTTAAACTTCATTCTTTAGCATGTGGACATCTTTTTCTCCTAACATCTGTTGAAAAGTCTTTTGAATGGTTTTGGTATCCCTGTCAAAACTCACTTGATGCTATTATGTAAGGAGTTATTTCTGTTTTCTCTATAATGTTCTACTGCTCTATATATCTTTACATCAGTGCAACAGTTTTCATGACTGTGGCTTTACAGTAAATTTTGAAATCAAGAAGCATGAACCCTCCAATTTTGATTTTCATTTTCATGATTGTTTTGGCTATAAAAGGTCCCTTAAGTTTCAATATGAATGATAGAATGGATTTTTCTATTTCTGCAAAAAAATGCCATTGGGATTGCACTGAATCTGTAGTTTTTGTTGGGTAGTATTGACATCTTAACCATATTAAGTATTCCTATCCATGTACATGGATGTCTTTCCATTGATTTGTGTCTTTAATTTCTCTCAGTAATGTTTTGTAGTTTTTAGTATAAGAAGTCTTTCACATCATTGGTTAAGTTTATTCCTAAGGTAAATGCTATATGCTTTTAGTTTGTCTATATTTCTCTTCTTGCAGTGTTGACAATTTAGAGAGATGTCCTATATAAATTGTTTTTTATTAAACTGCTTATATATATTTCCTATTTACTAGACTTATGTCTCTTTTATTTATAAGCAAGGTGCTGTATGTATGTTTATTTTATTATTTCTTAATTTCATCATTTTGCAACCATCTCCAGTGTTCTAAGGTCAATCACTCTAATAACTTATTAAGGATAAATACGTTATTAAAAATTTTTTAAATTATAAATTTGAGCTGATTATGGTGGAAAATAAGCCACATTTCTGGACTGCGATAGCTATTAAAAAACAAACTAAAAGAAAATGAATGATTTGAAAAGTCATATGTAATGGCAAAACAAGTAAATCTTTCTGATTATTGCCATTAAAAGTGAATTTTGAATGATAAAATTAATCTTGCTATGCATTTATTTTTTTAAATATTTTAATTGAAATTACAACGTGGGAAAAAATAAATAGCCCTTTATAATAGAGATTGCAGAGAGCCGTAAGTTTAACAACAGCAACAGACATTAAAAAGTCCATTTCTGTGTAGACCACATCACAACTAGGCAGTGCGAATCAAACACAAACCCTTTCTGCAACTTAGTTTTTGCAGTTGAAGAGAATATGAAATCAGAGTGTCCACCCATTAGGGCATTTAAAAAATATTTTTCTAAAGTTAGTAAGGTAGTTTCAAGTTAGTTGGCAGGTTCTATGTAAAGATAAACATCTGAAATGTTAAAAACATGTGCCTTGTTCACTACTGTAATTATCTATTATCTGTTACATCCACTGAAATGTTCAGTGCTCATTTGTGCAGTATGGTTAGATATTTCTGTCAGCTGTCCATTATTAGATATCTTTTATCTTTTTTCATCTGCTTTAGGTATCTTAAGTGCTCAACTCTTGTCACTTTAAAATGGCAATTGAAAATGATAAATAGCCTCTCCCCTTTTCTCCCTTCCTTCTTTCCTTCTTTCTTGGACTTTAAAAACCTTCTAGATAATTATAGTTCCCAACCAGGATGCTTCTTGCCAACTCTCCTGAGTTTTTTCCCCTCCCAGAAATAGCTACAGTATTGCCGCTTCTGAGAAGGGAGAGCAGCTGGGTCATACTATGGTCTTTCTTTTGTCTTTACTGTTTCTTTTCCCTTCCACCTACCTGAGTAAGGTGATTGGCTACAGCTACAGGCTGGAAAGAAGAAAAATGGAAATTTTGATATATTTTTTTCTGTTGGTTCCAGGTGATTATATGATCTATGCTTCCCTCCCAATGTGTATACCCCATTTTTACCGTGGAAGCAAACATTTGTTTACTCATCAAATAATTGGGCACAGATGATTACCGAATGCCTGGTGGAAAGTTATGGAAAGATAAGATTGGCTTTTTTTGCCAAAATTTTTTTCAATGTACATAATAACTCATGGATTCTAATGCTTTAAATATCCGTTTTGATTGTGTAAAAATCATTTCATATAGAAAATCCAAGAAATGAAACTGAAAATTTTGATAACACCTCTGTGCTTTGTGTGTTACCAGTATACCATGTAAAGTGCACTGAGTCTCAAATCTAGTTTAGTGTTAAAATTCTGAAAGAATTTCTACTTCATGGGAAAATGGTCATATCACAATATATCATTCAACTGAAATAAACATAAAAAATGGCTTGTTTTTATTCAGAAGGGAAATACTTTATGAAGCTTGGTTTAATCTGTAACATCTTACTTTCTTTAGGAGGATATTGAAAAATCAATATTTACTTCTATGGTCACAAATAAGAATTCTACATTCCCCTTTTCTATTTTTATATAATTTCTGCATTTTAACTGACATTTAAAAATGATGCACTTCTATGTGTAACTGCATTAAAATAAGTGATTGTTAGTAAAACATACAGCTTTTTATATTGAGGTACTGCAATTTGAAACAAAACCTTCTACATCTAATAAAGGGCAATAAAATGGCTTTAGGACCTAAAGAGGAAATTTCCTACACGTAAGTGATTGTTAAAACTGCAGAAAGGGATACGATTCAGTATGTTAGCTGAAAACTTTAAATGTTTCTCTCCAATGGAAAGGTGTAGAGCGTGATAGTATGGATTCTAGAGTGTAGTTTGAAAGAAAGCAATGGTGAAAATGCATTTCATGCCAGTAGACACTTTAAAAACTAGATTTAGCAGCAGTCACATTAGCTTAGATAATGGGAGAATTTTTCTTCATTGAAAATGCTCTGTGTCGCTTAAGAAGAACTTACTGAGGCAGCCTGCCATCTAGCTTTTTCACAGAAAAACAGGCTTACAGACTGCAGATGAGAGAGTCTAGAGCAGAGACAATTTTAACTTAGCCATTCCTAATTTATCTCAAGCATTTTCAATTCATCTTCTCTGCTCTGTGCACACAGGAACACCAGATTGCCATCCCTGGGGAACAGAATGCAACCGGGGATCTAGAGAGCTGTCACATTCCAAGAAATATTTAAATTGTGCTGATTTTCTTCTGGAGAACTGAGCCCAGGGAATGACACTCTCCATCAAGTCATAGCTTTGCGGGCAATAGATCAGAGGATATTGCCAGTTTTCTAATGGATTATTGTTATCGGGCAGGTTTTCTCTGAAGGTACGTAGTTATTTTCTCAATTCATTACCCTCTCCTATCTATCAGGTGATGATCTAATGAGCTGGGAATCCAAACTGGTAAAAAAGAGAAAGATGTTAAGTAGACAGTATTGACTAAAGAATGACACTTTGTGGCTGCATGTTTGTAGGTGAATAATCTGATTCCTTTAGTAAAGATTAGCACGGTAGAGTTTGAATTGCATTGTCAGCAGAAACAGGCAACCCCAAAACAAAACCGTGCTGCAGGCAGCATTATCATAAGTTCATATTAATTCTCTTCAGGATTTTCTTTTGTAGCTGCAACGTATAATGAAGAGGAACGCATACTTTGGAAACTCACTTAACCCTATATATTTCTGAATGTTTACAGAATCACAATTTTTGTCTCCGTATATTCTCCAATACAAACTTTGTCTCAAAGGCTCTAATTAATTTTGTTCATGCTTATGATGTATGAATATGTGAATGACAGGTTTAATTTAAAGAAACTCCAGTAAGAGTCTTCCTGAGAATATTATATCGGTATACTTTGTTGGCTTTACAGGTCTTTATTTTTTAGTTTGGATGAATCTTACCAAAATTAATTCTACAGTGGTACTTAAATATACATATCATAAAAATTATTATTCAACTTTGTTCTGGGAAGCAAAAAACCTTGGTACATCTTTGAAGTACACAAAAATGTTTAGCAAAGTAAAATGTCAGAAGTTGACAACTTCTGAACATTAATTGAACCAATGCAAATGGAAACAGCCTTATGCCAAACTGAAATTTAGTTTATTATACCTACAGTATATTAGAATAGGAAGGAGTAACTTCGGCATGAAATATACAGAATTCCTAAAAGTCAAAGGTGTGTGTGTGTAGGGGGGCGTTCTGCGTCAGAGAGTGAGTGAGGGGTGTAGGCTAGAAAGCTAGCACCTGGTAATCACAGTGAATTTATGAAGATTGAAGAACAAATTTTAAATGTGATATTAGGGCTTTTGATGCTTCTAAGTGTTTTATGGTCTGTGAAGCAGCTCAGTGAGAGCTCACGTGGTGTTGACATTTTTCCATGTTGAAAATGATGATTTGAATGGGTAGATAGCACATATATTTGGCCTGGAGCATGGTGTACCTGCTGCTGTATTTGGACTGCAACACAAAGTTTGTGGACCCATCAGTGGGTTAATCACAGGCTCCGGAGAAGAAATGGTGGCTGGGTTTCATGAGAGCACTTGTTAAATGTGTTCTAATTTCTTTGGAGCATTTGAGAGACTGTTAGAAGAAGAAAGAGGGAGAAGAAGGATTGAGTCATCCAGATAGTGACAGGAAGTGCATTCTCTCTTATCCTCAGAGGGATTGTAAAAGGCAAAAAAAATGGAAAAGAAGGGAATAGAGTCCTCCAAGAACACTTGAAAGTGCTTCTTTTTTCATGAATCTTAGAAGGAACAGAAGCTTAAATTAGTTTCCCTATGGATTCCTCCATTTTGCAAACTTTTTTCTTTCCTTTATGGAACACTTTCCCTCTATTCACTTAAGAAAAAAATGAATTTGCTCCCAGTTTAGTTTCTCCCCCGAATAAAAACTTGAAGCATTCATCTCAGTCTACAGAAGCGTGCTCTCTGAAGCTGCACACCTCTCAGTGCCCCAGTTTTACAATTCAGTGACCTGTGAATGCCACAGGGTAAAAAGACTTAGCATCCTTTTATTGTTATATTATTATTACAACTGGCTCCTCTGAAAATTTCAGGCTATGTGCCAAAGAAGGTACAAATAGGAAAATAAAAAGTAGAGTAACTTCAAGGAACATATTTTATGTTCTTTCAAAATAAGGTAAAAACAATAGGTAGTGACATATAGTTACCTCAAGTTGGGCATGGGGAAGATAAATAACTTAATAATATATCTTATAAGTTGCATTTCAGATATTAGATGAATAGAATAAATGTGAAAGGAAGGGCTTTTTTATTTGCCAAATTGCAATAAAAATGTTTACTACTCTGACCTCCTATTAACATTTTCTTATTTCCTATTAATATTTCATTAACAATCATGTTAGTATCTCTTGACTCCCTATAGGGGTCATTCACATACCCAGCCATCAAAATCTGCTCAGCTTCCAGGTCTTATCTCATCTTAGGGTGAGTTCATTGAAAACTATATTACTATAATTTCCTTGTATTAGTTGCTTTTAAATATTTAATATTTACTGAGTGCCCATGATATGTTTGGTGTTTCAAAGCAATATACATTTTGAGGCAATAACATAGTGGTATTTTCTCCTAAATCAGCCAGTTTATTAATATTTCAGGACTTCTAATTGTTGCCCACAAAGGAAGGCAATTAAGGCTGGCTCTTTAGTGGCTACTTATGTGCATAGAGGATATAAAATGTTCTATATTCAGTCAATGTTTTGCATTTAACTTTTCTGGGGATCCCAGACTGAACATCTAGCTGTTTTCAAATTATCCCTTAACTCTGTTTCATATGTCAGTGTGTCATTCCAGACAGACCATTGGATTGGGGATAAGACAAAGTAGGTGTAAATCTGTTAAGCAAGTTTACATAAATTAATTGATCTCTTACATACCCCTGTCCCATCAGCTGCATAAAAATGATGATGAGAATGATAGCAATAATAAAATCAACTGTGGCTGTGATAATGGTATTTACTTCTTAGATTCTTATGGGTAGTAGAGATCATGTAAATGAAGTAACAAATACATAGTTTGTGAACAGTATATGCTCAATAAACAGTACTTATTTTTGAATACAGGTTATCATAGAGTTACACTTACAGAATGTTCTGTTGAAAACCACCTTGACTCTTACTTTTCCTCAGGGATGTGTGTGTGTGTTTGTGTGCACGTGTGCACATGTGCAATGTGTATTGTCATAGCTCCACTTGTTTAGTAGTTTTAGTAATAAAAATAATGCATTGACCATGTAGTTATTGCTTGAAACTATGTAGAAGTACTAAGGCATTACCTATTACCAAATAGGTATTTACCTATTTTCCATAGATAAAATTACAAATTAAAATTCTTTTGAGAAATTAGTTGGCTATATTCTTCTCTACGGCTATCAAATAGTTAAATTGTCAACCATAACTTACCAGAGAAAGAAAATAGAACTAGCTCTCATTTTCCCACTTTCCCTCTCCCAGAGGATGTGGAAATAGAAGACAAGACAGTAAATCCTCTTCCTCATTATTCTGTGCCCTTTGCCCCTCTAATTTGCATTTTATTTTGCTACAGTGGCTTATCTAGTGAAATGGCCTCAAATCCCAACTGCAAAGAATAGTGCAAGCATACAAATCCACCCCTCAAGGAACAGAGCAAATAAATGGAAACTTTTATTAAAATAGAAGACAGCTTTTGCTCTGAAGAAAATGCTAAACATTTTTTAATGAGAGTGAAACCGTTGAACGTGAATGTTAAATCCAGCCAGATGTCGACCTTAACTGTGAGTTGGTATCTTTACAAAAATAGTATGCAAATCGAAACCAGAGGCGGCTTCCTTTAGGTCACAGGGCTGCTGAAAAATCCCGAGTCTGAATTTCTCAGATACAGTTCACACAGAGTTAAAGCAATACAGAAAACATACTTGAATATTTTGAGTTACATAGGGATGTAAATTAAGGGTAACACAAGTCTCTCTTACATATCTAGGTATTATAATTCGGAAAGAGATGTACTAAAGTCTCCTTTATAAAAAGGAACCACCAAACAATTATTTTGCAGGTGCATTACGAGAAAGACTCTTGCATTCTGACTACATGAAAGTACCTGCTGACTGGCCTTGCTTTTTCTTGTTTCTTTTTTCTTTTTAACTAATTTCAGAGCCAATCCTGTCTTAAGCCTCTGAATCTCTTACTCACCAAAAGTTGAGTCATCTGACAAGATCCTTGAAGTGCTTGTTCTTTTGCTTTTTGATTCTCAATTTTGGATATTTTGGCATAGTTCTCGGGATTAGAAACTGTGTACTAATTCCAACTCCGTTTCCTAATCCCTATAAGAGTGTGGATGTGTTTACGGGGGGAGGCTAATAATACTATTCAGGTGGTGATGTGGAATGAATGACAAAATGTAGTGAAATAGTGGTAGAGGGGATTTTTTTATATAAACAATATAAACGCTATAAACTAGTAATGAGTGTTATTTCTATCATGACGCTGCCATCTCCAGGCCCACTCCTGACACTAGGTTTCCAATTATTCAGTTTGATTATCAGACCTCCTTTGGGGGTCCCAGATTTGTGTTCACTTACTGCTCCTTCTTCTTGTGGATTCTTCTAGGTACATATTTTCATTTATTAAGTCCTGCCCCTTTGACCTAACCTTTCACAGCTTAGCCACCAATCCTTTGAGGTGTTTTTCCCTCAGGAAAACTCTTACTGGGAAAGCAGACATCTCTAAGCTTGGTGATTATCTCCTTCTGTCTCAATTTGTGTATAGTGACAAACAAATAGAAAAGGAGACACAAAGAAAATCCTGGCTCACGTGATAGAAATAATCCTCTCAGGCTCTAAAGTAGAGGCTGGTAAGCTTTTCCTGTGAAAGGCCAATTTGTAAAAGTTATGGGCAGAATTGTCTCTCCCTAAAATTCATATGCTGACGTTTTAACTCCTAGTACCCTGAAATGTGACTATAATTGGAGATAAGGTTTTGAAGGAGTCCTTCAGTTAAAATGAGATTCTTAGGGTGAGTCCTAATGCAGTAGGACTGGCATCCTTACAAGAGGAGGAAATTAGGACACAGGCCTGTACCGACAAGACATGTAAAGACGCCATGAGAATATGGCCTTCCGTGAGCCATGGAGAAAGACCTCAGAAGAAACCAACCCTCCTGACACCTTGATCTCAACTTCTAGTCTGCAGATTTGGATAAAAAAAAAATAGTTTAAGTCAGGCAGCCTGTGCTGCTTCACTAGGGCAGCCCTTGTAGACCAACACAGTGGACAGCTTAGCCCTGTGGGCTCAGTTAGGTTTCTGTCATATCCTTTCTCCTTCTCTGCCTTT